ATTGAGACCACAACGGATCATAATCCAATTAAAATTTTATTAATTATAGCAAGTAGAATATGAGCAAAAACAGTGCTGGACGACAGGGGAGTCTGCGCTCCTCCAACTGCCGTGAAGAGCAGTTCAAACAGCCCCTTTTTATACATCTTTACTTCCGTGTTCATGAAGTAGTGGAGGTACTCTGCGCATGCTTCACATAGTTGACCTTTTACTCATATGTGATTATATGGAGTTGTTATCTTACTTTCTTCCATTTCCTGGAGCATCTTGCAGTTATCTTCAGTTTGCACAATTGGTATCTGTTTTAGTTGTGTAAGCGATTGCGGTTTTCTTATCTTGCGTAAGCTGTGTCTGGTGGCTGTTTGCATAAGCGATTTCATATCTTTTGTTGCCTAACCTTTACATTGGGCTTAACATAAATCTTAATAAACAATACCCTAGTCTATAGTTTATCACAATCCCCCCTTTTTTCTTTTCATCCTATTATTGTTTATTAGACGCTGCTTTCATTCTCGGCACTGCAAGCAAACCTTTTTCCACAATCCCAACATTTACCATAACACTCACAAGGTAATACCTCACAATTACAATAGGCATAGCTTTCACGTGGCATAATGCATTCACAATAATCTTCATCCTCATTAATAGATACACTCTTATATTTTGCCCCAGACCTCGTAGTTAAAATAAGCAGTTTAGCTATGTCAAACCGTTCTCTAATAAAGTGTAAAATATAGCGCAATATACAAGGCCCAAATATAAGTCCCAGAATCAACATAATAAGCGGTCCTGCTAAAGCAGACAACAAAGTGGTTAGCCAAGGTGAAACATTAAACCAGTTTTCATACCATGACCTGCCCGCCTCACGATCTTTCTTACGTTGATCTAACCTTTTCCGGAGTTGTAATATTTTGAATGGCATGTGTTTCCTGTAAGTTATATATCTTCCATACCATAGGTTCATGAGGGTTTCCATTTGCTTGGGTTATTATCAATAACAAAACTAACGGTATACCAGGGAAAAGGGTGTCTGTCAATTTTGCCAATTTAAGTATATTTTTACCAGTCCTGGGGAAGTTTGGCCATTGCTGCTTTTGCGTCCCATTGTTCTGGTTCTTTTCTCCACAATTTGTTCCTCCTCTGCCTCGCCCGTCGACTCGGTTGCTTCGAGCCACGGGGTGTACCATCTTCTCGGCAGCAAGGGAATTCTTCAGGAGAACAGCTGTTTCGGGCTTTCTGCCTGTTTACATAGGCTTCCCACTTTGCAGCTTTAACTAATGGGGCAAAGCAAGACGCGGTTAGTACTTCCCTTCTACACTTTATAACCAAAATTTCAGCTACAAAGGTGACTGGTTCGTTGGAGTGGTAACAATAATATTGAATGTTTATTCCTTTGGCAAAAATCTCCCACCACTCATGGGATTCCCAAATAATTTCTTGTTCAGACTTTAACTGTTTTAATTTCCACTCAGTGAGAGTTCTTTGGACTTTCCAACACTGTGTGCAAACTCCTATTGGAGGATATCCACATTCACAGTGTGTCCACCATTTATCCTGGCATACCTTACACCTGAAACAAGCAAATGGATAACAATTGCAGTTCAATTTATTACACCTAATTCATATATCTAGAGTGCATATATTATTTACATCAGTATATCTTCTATATTCACTATTGTGTGGTTGCATAAGTTTAGCAATTTCCTTCAACACACTTTGTACGCTTCCATATATAATAGAAAAAAGAGAAATAATTATAGCAAATATAAACAGCAATACACACTTTATGCCAAAAGATAATGCGGCAAAATAATCAAATAAAGTCTCTATCATTACGTTATCTTTTCAGGGTTATCTTGGTGTCACCTGGAGTACTGACTACTTTCCAGTGGGGTCTGGTCACTGGGCCTTTAATGCGACTGGCATGAGTCCATCCACGCTCAGCAGTCCGGACAACTGTTTCTGTTGTAAGCAAAACAAGATAAGGTCCCTCCCAATTGGGTTTTAGGGTTTCTTCCTTCCACACTTTAATCAATATCCAATCCCCAGGTTTAACATTGTGAATTTTTAAGTCCAACGGGGGTCGTTGCACAATCAGTCCATGTTCCCAAAGCTTGTTACGATGTTCTGCTAATTGTGAAACATATTCGTTAATCACACGGTCTCGAATTAAAACATTTGTTTGTGGACTTTCAATTCTATAAGACATTCCATACACCATTTCAAACGCTGATATTCCTACATCTGCTCGGGGTCTGGTTCTGAGAATTAATAGTGCCATGGGTAGGCACTTAATCCATGATAATTTGGTTTCTATCATTAATTTAGTCAAAATAGTTTTAATTTCTCCATTCATCCTTTCAACTTTTCCCGAACTTTGCAGATGCCATGGTGTATGGTATTCCCACTTAATACCCAAGCTTTCTGTTAGATCTCTAACAATTTTTTGACACAAAGTGTGTTCCTCTGTCCGAGTCGATTACTTCAGGTACTCCATATTGAGGTATAATGTGTTCAAGTAACAGTAAATCAAGAAAGAAAATGAGATATAAACAGATTTCAAGCATAAAATGTATACATAACTATTAGGGCAAAATACAAATGATTTTATTACGATTCATATTTTTAATTTTCTGTAACAAAAATATTTGGAATAATACCTTTCTAGTGAAATGTTTTAAAATAATCCCAGATTAAGTATTTTTCAGTAAATATTACTGATCAGGAATATGTGTGACAATATTCAAGATCTGACTAATTCTCTTTTACAGACACTAAATCACTATATCTCATAGCAGTGATACTACTAAGTGTCAGACTTAGAAATTTACTGCCTTAAAAGGACTGTATCTGGCAGTGGAGTCAGACGGAAAGGCCAACTGCAAACTCCTGCTTTCACAAACCCAATGAAAAAGCTGCTGTTCATATTTCTTGAGATAAAATCAAATATTAAACACTTGTACATGCAAACACAGGCACTTCAGCATAACAAAATTTCTTACAAAATGCTTACCTTCAAAAACCATTAAAAGCAAAAGATTTCCCTCCAATTATTAGAGTAGAAAGACTTGACCATTCCCAGAGTAAAAAAAAAATAAATAATCTTATTATCACAGACTACAGTCTTTCAAGATAAAATACAGACATTAAAATGTAAATAAAACTTTAATTAATTTCCTTTTTTTTTTAAATACAAATTATCAACTTTGTATTAAATTATCAAAAAGCAAAAGTAAGGTTATTAATTTTCAAACCATATCTGAATGAGTAAAATTGGAGATGAGGAAGTATCTTCGCCAGTTTGGAATCCAGCATCCATACAACACACAAGCCATACTAAAAGCAATTATTACATTTTACTTTTTTAAGAGTAGATATCAATTGGAATAAAAATGCTAGATTACCCAGATAAAAATTTAATCATAAAAAAAATGAAATTATTTATCTTCATCAAAACATTTAATTTAGAAAAACTATTTCCTATTCATAGGCCAAATTATTTATATACAATATAGTGTATATATTACATAATTAAGTTCCAGGTTTTTTTTTTTTTGTTTGTTTGTTTGTTTTGTTTTGTTTTTTTTTTTTCATAGGCTTCAACAGAATGCTTAAATATTCTGGATTTACCCCAGAGTACAAGGGCTTTCCTCAGTCGTTCCAGCCACTCAGTAGGGCTTTCATCTTTCTTTTGCATTCCATTAAATGCTTTATTGATATTCTGGCCACAGGGTACTGCTTCTCTAATTCCCTGAATTACTATAGTTCTCAGGTCCTGCATATGAGTTCTATGCACCGGATCCTGATTATCCCAATTAGGTCTTTGGAGTGGCCATTTAATATCTGCTTGAGGTCCCTGGTCATGTTGAGCATCCCACAGTCTCATTCCTGCTCGTCTAATCATATCTCTTTCCTCGGTAGTAAATAATTGACCAAGGATAGATTGCATCTTATCCCAACTATAAAGGTTTGGTCCCAAAAATTGATCTAATCTTTCTGCTACTCCAAGTGGGTCCTCTATTAAGTTTCCCATCTTGGTTCTTTTAAAATCTCATAGGTCAGCCGAGTTTAAGGGTACGGAAATATATCCAATCACAGGTTGAGGTCCCCCCATGGGTATTTCCCTTAGGGGGTACATCTGAGCTGCCCCTTTTTGACTTCTAGTTAGGCGTCTAGGAGGAGGGGGAGACCCTTGTTCCGACCCTGGTGGGGGAGTGGGCGCTCTGGAGACCTCTGGAGGGGTTGCAGGAACAGGAGGAGGAATGGAAGGAGAGGGGGTTAGAAGGGTTTAGTCTAACTCTACCTTCTTTTTCTTTTGTTTAGTTTTTTATTTCATTCAGCGGATAAAGTCTAGCTCCCGGTCTTTCTAGCCACACTTCCGCATATTGACTCTCCTCCGGGTTAAGGAGTTTTTTATTATTAACCCAGAGGTTTAATTGCTGTCTTACCCAATCTTCTTCTGACCCATAGACTGGCCAAAAGACATTTTTAGAAATCTTCTTCCCTCCCCATATCTTAGTACAATATTCTCCAATTGTCTAAGATATATGCCAGAGGGGTATTCTTAGAAATCTTCTTCCCTCCCCATATCTTAGTACAATATTCTCCAATTGTCTAAGATATATGCCAGAGGGGTATTCTTAGAAATCTTCTTCCCTCCCCATATCTTAGTACAATATTCTCCAATTGTCTAAGATATATGCCAGAGGGGTATTCTTAGGTACAGTGGGTACCCTTCCCATGGGAGTCGAAGGCTTGCTGCCCTTCGCCCCCATCTTCTGGAATATCTACAAACATCCACTCGCTCACTCCCCTTGTTCCTGGCCCAGTCCCTCGCGGGAGATGGGAAACGCAGTACTTAAGGGTCCACACTCGCTTGGTTCAGTATATCGAACCTCTCACTCATTATATTCCAGGAAACCCAATCCCGCCCGAACGGCAAACCCGCAAACAACTTCGCAATATACTTACGCATCCTGCGTCTTCGTCCGGACTCCCGTGCACAGAATTTTTATGGGATTTTACCGGTTTTTTCCTTTGCTCATTATTCTAGAATTTAGGTTCGTCGGTAAGGTTGAGGTAAGCTGTCAGTCGCGGGGCCGCGGATTGTCGCGGGGCGCCTCCCCGGAGGACCAAAGCCCACCATTCCTCATCCGAGTCACGGCACCAGAAATTGTCATAAATTGAGACCACAACGGATCATAATCCAATTAAAATTTTATTAATTATAGCAAGTAGAATATGAGCAAAAACAGTGCTGGACGACAGGGGAGTCTGCGCTCCGCCAACTGCCGTGAAGAGTAGTTCAAACAGCCCCTTTTTATACATCTTTACTTCCGTGTTCATGAAGTAGTGGAGGTACTCTGCGCATGCTTCACATAGTTGACCTTTTACTCATATGTCCTTATATGGAGTTGTTATCTTACTTTCTTCCATTTCCTGGAGCATCTTGCAGTTATCTTCAGTTTGCACAATCGGTATCTGGTTTAGTTGTGTAAGCGATTGCGGTTATCTTATCTTGCGTAAGCTGTGTCTGGTGGCTGTTTGCATAAGCGATTTCATATCTTTTGTTGCCTAACCTTTACATTGGGCTTAACATAAATCTTAATAAACAATACCCTAGTCTATAGTTTATCACAATTCCTATACATTCTACACATGATTTTCGATTCCTCCCAAAGTGCAATGATGACAAGGACTCCTAAGTTTCTGACACGAATCATTCCTATATACCTCACAACATTAAGGGCCAAAAATACATAATTCTTATTACAAAATATTTTACTTTTTACAGACAACAAACATATACCAGTGAATCAGTACATAGTCATCCTATGACATTTTAGCTCTGTGATCTGGATGCTCCCTAATCTGACAGGGTTTAGCTTTTTTAATATTTGGGAAAATAAACCCACAAAAATCAAAATAAACAAACAAAAAAACAAACAAACAAACCCCAGCCGATTCATAATTTTTTTTTTTAATTTACTTTAATTTCTGCTGTTAAGAGAACAGCTACAACTCTTACTTGGTACCTTTGGTATTACTTCCACCATACCTCTCATCTTCCTAGAGAGACAAACCACACAGCAGATAAATTGAGATGAAAATACACAGCCAGGTGTTACTTACTAGCCCAGACCCAATTAACAGGTGCCAATCAGTACAGAAATATAACACAATCTATTGTGGTGCCCATGAGGCATCACTGGCCAATTCCGTGCCAGCTGCTGCCATGCAACCACCCAGCTGGCCCCTGGCCTGGAAGTGGTCAGACCACCCTCTCCTTCATGGGTGGCCGTGGGATGAGTCTCCAGCACTGCCCACGAGGGGAAGGAATCGGAAAAACACAGGGTTTGTTTATACCCCTCAGGCAGATGAGAACCATGGGGTTCGTTGGGAGGCGCCACCAGCTTCCTCAGCCTGAGGATAGGGGTGACTGCCCAGTTCCCCACACGCTGTCAAGTCCCAGGCGGGCCGGAAGGCCACTTGACGCCTCCTCCAGCCCAATCCCGCATCGGCGAAGGAAAGGTAACACCAGCAGCGCCACGCTGGAGGGACACGCACAACTCCATGGGGTGGCCTCAGCACCCCCTAGCCCTCCATGCCTCTAACGGAGCGGGCAGAATCAGTACATAACACCATCATTCTGTAGCAAAAGAGGAACAGAAGCCCTCACCTTTACAGGGTACCGGTGGCCTGATTGGCCGCGCTAGCCGCCAATCCCGACGGGCGGAGCGGGAAGTGTCGCAATCGCCCCTCAATTCCACGTCACACGTAAACGGTTCGGGTTCAGCCCTGTGCCTGCTGTTGTCCGCTCGTGCCGACATAGGTAAGTGCGACCACGCAAGGGGCGGCGGGCTGGGGGTTGTTCCCCTTTCTCCCTCCGCTGTGTTGCGGTGGATGCCGCGTAAGGGAGCACGTGATGCAATTGATAGGCTGCCTTGCCTCTTTTCCTTTCTCTTCTCTCTGCCGGTGAAGTCACGGTTTAGCAGCGCTAAGTATCCCCGCGCGGGCGGGGGAGGAGGAGTAGTGCTGCCGGGAGGGTGGTGGCACCGCCGCTACGGGCCCTTGGGGGAGAGGAGTGGGGCTGGGCCGAGACGTCTCTACGTGTCTTTGACAGTGAGGCTGGGCCGTCGTTACGGCTCGTCACAGCCATTACTGAATGTGCCCAGCCTGGGGAAAGGTCAGCGAGCGGCCTGTGTAACGCTGCTGGTGCTGTCACCGCGTAAGGCCGCGAGGGGCCCCGGAGCAGCCCTGGACCGCGACAGAATGCCGTGCTGTAACGATTGGGATTCTGTAACAGCTCTTAAGGGCGTTCTGAATGTCTTGACAAGTCGTTGTGGTTCCCAACAAATTTTTACAGTTCCAGATGCAACTTTCAAAATAGATCTAGTCCAAAACGCCTGGTGTCAGTTTTAGCTCTGACAACTCGGTACTCCCCTCAATAATAGTGGTTATAATGCCTTTTCAGAATATAAAAATTCATAATTTGAAAATCTTGACTAAAAGGCATTAGTTCATATTTAGAAATAGTTGCTTTCATTACAACTCAAAAGACAGTTACATCGATAACTCCTTGCCTCCTGGCATCTGGGATTGTTTGTGGTTCTGTCATCAATGCTGCCAGCCTGCAATTAAGATATATCGCTCAGATGTTCCGAGCACTTTTTTTTTTTTTTAAGGATTTTGGAGTGTATTTTTTTCTTTTAAGGTATATAGAAAAAACAGATTCCAAGAAAAATATGGGAAAGCAATGTCAGCTATGGCAACTGATTATAGATTTGAATGACCTAGTCTTCAAGTTGTGTAGCCTTCAGTATGTGAGAATTACCATCAACTCTTACTAACTTGCCTCTGAGAGTGGGCAGAAAACCACTTGGGAGTGGGTACTCCCAGTGTTCCACAAACATATGGCTGAAGCTTTATGCTGTTGTTCTTTGTACAGTCATCTGGATTTAGAGTCAGATCCTACTGGGGTATTCCTGATGAAGTCAGAGACAAGGGAGGCCACCTATTGCTGTGCAGATTGGGACTGATTTTACATTAGACAAAGCAGCTGAGTAACTGCAGTAAAGTCATTCTGACTAAAAAAAAAACCACAGTCAACACAGTCACATCTCAGAAAAGGAGCAGAGAAACGCTTTGTGGTGTTTGGGTTTTTTTTTTTTCCTTTTCTGCCAAATAAAAACAAAGGCAAACTGATTTAATTAACAAATTAAAACACATCTTGTTTTTTGCCAAAGCAAACTTTTTTTTTTTTTTTTAAAGCAAAGATGATAAAAGCCTTGATTTGCTTGGGAGTCTTTGTGGTCTCTGAGGAGCACTGTCAGATAGTAAGAAACATCTCTTTACCTGATAAGACAGACACCTTTGAGTTACCAGCTATTATGCTGTTGTGGGTAGCCAGTTGGTGGCCCAAGGAGAGGACAAGGCAGTTCTGATTGGTAACTGGAAACACTACCATGTGCTGGGTGGAATCAGCCTGGGGCTGTTGCTGAGCTTAAGGTGATGATCACAAGATGAGAAACTCAGTGGCTCTCTGAGGCTGTGCTGGGGCTATCACCCATTCACAAGAAACCAGCCTGTTTGCAGTAGGGGAGAGGAGCAGAGCAGCTGTGTTTGTGTGACAAAGTGAGAAATTAACTCCCGAGACCCATCTACCTCGCTAAAAGTAGTCACATAAATATATGTGCAACTGCTTGAGAGCTGGCATTGAAACACACCCTTTACCTGCTTATTTACAAGTTACTGAGCTATGCAAGAACTCTGGAGTCAGGTGTCAGAAACAAGCTGGTTGCTGTTGGGATGGAGTTGGTTTTGCTCCATTCTGGATACATTCCTAGAGCAAAGGTCTACTTGTATGACTATCGATAATATCGTATCTTATTTTCGTTTGCATAATCCAGTGTCATGATTCTTTAAAGACCTTATCCCTTAAAAAAAAATACACAGGGATTCAGCATCTTCAAGTAATTACAGCAAATTATCTTTAAAGGCAGAAATGCTATTGAGGAAATAGAAACTGTAGGAATTTGAGGAAGAAGGTGTAGAGGAGCCTGTTAGGGTAAATGCCCCTGTTGATTACCCACTCAATATGTTTCCTTAACACTTACAATGACATTTAAAAGTTCTCTGCGGCCTTCCACTTAGTGTGAGAACTGTTTTGTGTCTGTTTGAATCCCTTCTGTTGTGTCTGATTCTTTGTGTGTTAGCTCTGTCTTCATGGGCAATTATTTTCGTCCTAAAATAAAACCATACAAACACCCTGGACTACAACCTACACTTGAAAAAAAAATCTGTTTTTTTTTTTTTTTTCAAAGCATTCAGTTATTTGCCTCTATTTCCCTTATGGATAACCCTTCACTGGATTATTTTTTGTTTGCACATTTTTCTTAGAAGTTTACTTTCCATATATGATACTACTGCGTAGTTTTTTCCTCTGGTCTCTATCCATGAGTTTGAATTCTTCTAGATGAGAAGTCTGTCTTTTCCAGTAATTTAGCAGAGAAGAAAATAAATGTATTTGTATATATATTTTACAAGTGGACATAAATAGGCCCTTTAGGTAAAAATGCACCATTCCAGACGGTGATATACAATGTGTTAATGTATTTGAGGGCAAATGAACTGAATTACAACAAAATAAAAGCTTTTATTAGTATTTGCTACCCCTGTTCTTTCAACCTGTATGTGTTCAAAACTGAGTAGGAAAACCTCATTGAATACAGTTGCATTCTTTATGATCACCAAGCAGATGACATTCATTCGGGAATATACCAGAAGTACATAGCCTGTAATAGAGGTTTTCCCTAATCTTCTTATTGCAAACCTCACTTCTGTTAATAACCCCTTCATTTTGGTATTGCAAGAATTACTTTTCACATTCAGGACTGATCTGCACTAAGACCAGAATTCTGTTGTTAGAAATTTAAATTTTGCAGAGCTGAGGTTCTAAGAGCTTCAGAAAGAAGGATTGCTGACTTTTGTTTATCAGGAATCTGGCTATATTAAAAAAAAAAAAATTCATAAAGCAGCAGCATTATGAATACCTCTGTCCAGTTGTTTGAAAAAGCTTATGCTTGTTAAACAGAAAATTTCTGAGATTTTCTTCAGTCCAATTTAATAATTTAAATGATAGAAATTTGTCTATTAATAGGTGATTTGTCAGAGGTAGCCTTTTTGAATAGGTGAAGAGAAAGGAGAGGAAACATTGCTTAGTGGTGACTACTATTTCAGGATTGTACTTCTAATTCTACCACTGACTCACTATAGCCTTTTCCAAGTTTCTAGTGTTTTTGTTCTAGAAAATAGTAAAGAAAGAAGTCATTCTGTTCTAATAGCAAACATCCATTTTATTGTAGCACTGCCTGGAGTTCATTTACAGGAAAAATCCAGTGCCTTTGTTCTTACTTGCTGTGCAGCTGATAAGTCTCACAACTAAGTATTTCCAGTTCCTTTCTAGTTCTGCATCTTCTAGTACTACTTCCTGTATTTTTAGTTATCAAAATATTAGAGTTGTACAGCTATCTAGTTACTCATACTGGTGTTGTGGTTTAAGTCCAGCTGGTAACTCGGAACCACACAGCCACTCTACTCACTGTCCCTCTTCTTCTTCCCCCTGCTCCTGGAGGGATGGGAAGGAGAATCGAAAGAAAGTAAATCCCATGGTGTGTCAGGGACAATAGATAATGGTCTGTGGCTAAACACACAAAGGTAGAAAAGTTTGTCTGCTTTAGCTCCTCCCCGGAGAGTCCAGCTTTGGTCCCTACTTGGAAAGTTCCGCTTTTAGAACTCCCAAGAAAAGTCTTGACCCTTGGAGACCTTTCTAGATATTGCTGGCCACTTCTGATGTAGGCTGGCCCCTGGCGTCAAAATAAGTGTGCATTTTTGTCAGTATAAAAGCTGGAGCCTCATGCGATGTGGGGGAGGCAGAAGCTCATACTGCCCAGGTCAATGTTGCCTCCGTGGGAATGCCTGCTAAGGTTGAGCCTGCCACCTCGCACTACAATGATGATCCTCAGAGCTGGTTTCCTGTTTGTCTTCACAATCAGCAAACTTGGCAGGTTGTCCTGTTGCTCAGGAGTCAGGCTGTTAATAGGTTTAAGCTGCAGAAGGAAAACTCCAGCCTGAAAATTAAGAAAATTATATAACTGGAGGAAAAGTTAGACAGTGGAACCTGTTGCCAAGACAGAGGTTGTGAAACTGGAGATATTCAAGGCTAGGCTAGACACCCATCCATCAGGGATGACTTTGGAATAAGAATAAAGCCAGTGAACAATGCAAACAGCTTGACTAGATGACCCAGTAACAGTCCTTTCCAATCCAAATACATTCAGGAGGCTTTTGAAATGTAGTTGGCAGCTTGTCCACTTCCAGCACAGCTGTGATGTGTTATTGCCAGATGTACCGTCAGTACCTTATGCTAAAAGCCAGTGATGTATAAGTTTCTAGCTGAAGCTAGCACCTTTAATTATTTTTTTGTTCCTACTAGGTTCAACTTGCCCTTAATCTGTGCAAAGACCTTTTGGAAACACCTTCTAGAAACATAACCTTTTTCAGTGTCTTAATAAATTCTGTTGTGTCCAAGAAAAGCCTGTGCAAATGAGCAAGACATCCCAACAGAACACCACTGCAGATGCAAACGGAGTAAGTGCGATTCACACACAAGCACACACCAGTGGTTTGCAGCAGGTTCCCCAGCTGGTGCCTGTTAGTCTTGGTGGTGGAGGCAAAGCTGTGCCTCCAAGCAAACAGGGAAAGAAAAATTCCTTTGTGGATAGAAACAGTAATGAGTATCGTCAGCGAAGAGAGCGAAACAACATTGCAGTGAAAAAGAGCCGGTTAAAAAGCAAGCAGAAAGCACAAGACATGCTGCAAAAAGTCAACCAGCTCAAAGATGAAAATGAACGTTTAGAGGCAAAAATCAAACTCCTGACCAAGGAGCTGAGCGTACTGAAAGACTTGTTCCTCGAGCATGCGCACAACCTTGCAGACAATGTGCAACCTGTTGGCACTGAAACCGCCACAACACATCCAGAAAACAATGGACAGTAGACACTGTTGCAACATTATGAAATGAACTCTCCAGGTGCAGCTTATCTGCAATGCCCATGCAGTAGCCAAGCAAAAACTCTATTCTTTTAGCCATCATTTTGTGGCGATTTTCTTCTTTTTAAGTTTGACACTGAAGATTTGATAAAATTAAACGAGAAACTGCTTAGGGTATTCATTTTAAATATTTTTATCCTCTAAAAGATGTATCTGATAAATGCAGATCTAAAGTCATAGTCAACAAGGAGCTTAGTATTAGGGAAGTAGCATTTGCATTTTCATTTCACAGAAATGTTCACTTACTTACCTTCTTATAGTTTGCATAATGGGAGGAATCCAGCAAGATGGTTCACTGTAGCATCAGAAACTCATAATTGGATAAAATGTCTTTTAAATAACTTAGAGTATTTAGGACCTTTGTTTTCCCCATTACATATTACCAAACTGCAAAGGCTGTGGAGGGTGTTTGGTTTCCTGTGTGGTGGACAACTTTAAATCTGTAAAGCAAGTCCTATAAAGCACCACATAAGGTCTTTCCTGTCCTCTTACAGGTAATGGGAAAGGTGTGTAGTAATAGTGAGCTGGGACGCTTACTGATGTTTTCTAGAAAATTAGCTATATATTTAGGTGATCCTGCCCCTCTACTCTGCTCTTGTGAGACCCCACTTGGAGTACTATGTGCAGTTCTGGTGTCCTCAACATAAGAAGGACATGGAGCTGTTGGAGCAAGTCCAGAGGAGGGCCACGAGGATGATCAGTGGGCTGGAGCACCTCCCATATGAAGACAGGCTGAGGAAGTTGGGGCTGTTCAGCCTGGAGAAGAGAAGGCAAGGCTGCATGGAGACCTCATAGTAGCCTTCCAGCATCTAAAGGGGGCCTACAAGGATGCCGGAGAGGGACTCTTCATCAGGGACTGTAGTGATAGGACAAGGGGTAATGGGTTTAAACTTAAACAGGGGAAGTTCAGGTTAGATACAAGGAAGAAGCTCTTTACTGCGAGGGTGGTGAGGCACCGGAACAGGTTGCCCAGAGAAGTGGTAAATGCTCCATCCCTGGCAGTGTTCAAGGACAGGTTGTGGACAGAGCCTTGGGTGACATGGTCTAGTGTGAGGCATCCCTGCCTATGGCAGGGGGGTTGGAACTAGATGATCTTAAGGTCCTTTCCAACCCTAACCGTTTTAGGATTCTGTGATGATATATACAGGCAGTTGGCTTCCAAATGGCAAGCGGGTCTGAAGCATCATGTGTAAGAGGTAAAGCAGCAGAGTAACAAAGCCTAATTTTAAGCCTCTGTTCACATTTCTCACACACTGACTGGGGCCTTATGAGAACAAGATTTTGGTTTTCATAAAATGTTAAAATGCTACCGAAAACCTGTGCTCTGCAAAATTGCATTCTTGCTGGGGTACAGGTATTGGGGAGAATGAAATATGTGGCTTGGTTTCATCTATTCAGCCAGAATGTATGGATCACTGCTTGTTGACATTCATCTCCAGTTTTGCAGCTGCTCAGACTTACAACCAAGATCTTATATTTACAGTGGTTTTAAAAATAAATGGCCCTAGTTTGAAGAACTGATTCAGTGGAATTGCTATAGCCATCATACAGTTGTGTGAAGGAGTATCTTTGGTCTTGTTTTATTTTGATAAAAGTTTTTCTATTATAACTTATAGTATTTCTATTATAATTTATAATGCTACTGCTAAGTCTTTGCCATGATCCATAATGAAGTGGTATGTTCTATACTGAGGATTTAAACAATACAAGTAAAGCAGGAACTTTGATGTAACCTTAATTTATTTCCGTTTTAAAGTATTTCATTGATGGTATGGTCATGTTACATTTAACATGTGTCTGGCTAGTGGATTATTACACTGTCTTAATTTCCTTCCTACACTACCTTTTTCCAGAGACTATTTTGTAGGATGCTTGTTTGCCTTGTACCTGTACTTAGGAAGAAAAGTTGGATATTATCTCTATGAAGATGCTGTTAGAAAATGGAACCTTGAAAAGTTCTTTTTGAATTTAAACTTTTAATACATGTGTAAAACTTTTATGGATTGGTTTGGCAGTCTTTTTACAAAGATATGGGTTTTTTTTTTGTTTGCAGCTTAAGTAGGCAGGGTTGAAATATCAGAAGCTAATAAAAACCTTTTGCTTCTAGTGCTGCCCTCATTTTTCCTGTCCCTTTTCTTTTTTCCTCAAATGCAGATGTGCCTGCCTCAAGCTGCTATCATTGAGAAATCAGTGCAACAGTCTCCATTCCTGTCTTCCATGCAGGCTTTTACACAATGGAAAGAATCAAAACCTTGTTACACTTTTGGCTGAATTCCTGACTTAAAAACACCAACACACCAAAAAAACAAAACCAGAAGACATTTAAGACTGAAAATGTATTGCAATTAAAGGGCAGAGGAACAGAACACCAAAAACTATGAGAAAAAGGTGACTTGAAAGCACCGTATTTGTTAACTGTCCGCCTACTCTGATGCAAAGGGCAGGAGCTTGTCAGTTGTCTGCTCTGTGAATTGGGACTATGTGGCCTTGTCGACTGGCTGGTGTTGAATGTTCCCCTAATAATCATAACAGGGGCTCCAAATGATTTCTTAAATATCTTTGAGTGGGAGCAATAATCTTTCTGATGCTCTGGAGGGTGCCTTCACTTGTTATTCCTGACAACTCTGATTCCACTTCTTGTCTAAAACAAAACCACTGAGTTATGAAGTCATTTGTCTGCACAATGGCATTTCTGGCTTGGCAGTCTCTGCACTTGCTTTGATAGCCTAGAGAAGCGTTGTAGGCTGTGTGCATCATATCACTTTAATATGTGAAGTCATGAACCCAAGTTTATAACAAATTATTATATTAAATATACTCTCAGTGAGAGTTTGCTTGCAAGGAAGATGCTAGTCTATTATTTGAAGATCCCTCCTGCCAAAAAGGTGAGATTTAGATTAGATATTAGGAAGAAATTCTTCACTATGAGGGTGGTAAAACACTCGAACAGGTTGCCCAGAGAAGCTGTGGCTGCCCCATCCCTGGCAGTGTTCAAGGCCAGGTTGGACAGGGCCTTGAGCAACCTGGTCTAGTGGAAGGTGTCCCAGCCTGTGGCAGGGGATTGGAACTAGATGAGCTTTAAGGTCCCTTCCAACCCAAACCGTTCTATGAAAATAGTTGTCTCAGACCTCTGAGGAGCAAAGGCAGAGGCAAGGCTTTTCCGCTCTGCCCCAAGGTCAGCAGCCCCAGCTGTGTGACAGCAAAATGCCTCAATCTTACCCCTCCACTGCAAAGCACAGAACACCCAGGTGACTTAGACGATTCTCCTTCCTAAAAAAAAGGCTGGAATATATACACACCTACACAAGAAAATGTCAGTGTAGGCCTATAAAAGTTCAGGTTTTCCTTTTTGACACATTTTTCTTAAAAACAGCTATAGTTGTGACAGAATACAGTGCCTATCACTATAAGAAGGAGCATTACAGCACCCTATGTTTCACCAGGAAACCTCATTCCCATTTTCTTGCTACTCTAGCCTCTACAAGCACTCGGAAGCTCTACCACTTTAACTATACCCTGCAGATAAATCCCGAGTGCATCCAACCCCAGGGAGCTGACACAATTTAAAGAGAACAGTTCAGAAGCACTCAGCCCTTTCTAAAGTGTATGTTGTGGTTGAACCCAGGATTAAATATCACTTTGCCATTTTTAAAAGGCTTAATTCCCTGCATCACCCCCCCCCCACACACACACACTCACATGCACATTTAGAAAAAAGTTCTAATTCACTTCTTTCTGAAGTGGATAAAAATTATCATAATTACAGATCAGAATTCTGGAAGGAAGGATGAAATTCATATGCACCAAGTTCATGGGCCTGATAATGAAGGAAAACGGGAGACAGTGCACCATCCCGGACCGAAACGCATCCATGTTTTCAGCAAGCAAAACAACAGAGCAGCTGTTACGTGAGCGAGTGATCTCACCCAGAACTTACTCGTGGTAGGGTTTGTTTGCTGGTACATGTCAAAGCAAAATCAGTTCTGCCTCTTGCAGCACACCAGATTGCTTGACCTGTTCTGCAGCAGCAGAGCCCAATATTTGCCAAGATTAATCACAGGCAGGGAAAAGCATAGACAAGTCTGGAGCAGCACTAGTGTAGTTTCTATATTCTTGTATCTGCAAAGCTACCAAAGCAAAGCCTGATGTCATCTGCACAAGTACTACATAGAATCATAAAATCCTAGAATGGTTAGGGTTGGAAAGGACCTTAAGATCCCTGCCATAGGCAGGGATGCCTCACACTAGACCATGTCACCCAAGGCTCTGTCCACAACCTGTCCTTGAACACTGCCAGGGATGGAGCATTTACCACTTCTCTGGGCAACCTGTTCCAGTGCCTCACCACCCTCGCAGTAAAGAGCTTCTTCCTTGTATCTAACCTGAACTTCCCCTGTTTAAGTTTAAACCCATTACCCCTTGTCCTATTGCTACAGTCCCTGATGAAGAGTCCCTCTCCGGCATCCTTGTAGGCCCCCTTTAGATGCTGGAAGGCTACTATGAGGTCTCCATGCAGCCTTGCCTTCTCTTCTCCAGGCTGAACAGCCCCAACTTCCTCAGCCTGTCTTCATATGGGAGGTGCTCCAGCCCACTGATCATCCTCGTGGCCCTCCTCTGGACTTGCTCCAACAGCTCCATGTCCTTATTATGTTGAGGACACCAGAACTGCACATAGTACTCCAAGTGGGGTCTCACGAGAGCAGAGGGGCAGGATTACCTCCTTCGACCTGCTGGTCACACTCCTTTTGATTCAGCCCAGGGTACAGTTGGTTTCTGGGCTGCGAGAGCACACTGAAGCTGGCTCATGTTCAGTTTCTCGTCAGCCAACACCCCCAAGTCCTCCGCAGGGCTGCTCTGAATCCCTTCTGAGGCACAATGCTTGCAGTTCACTGAAGGAAGCATTAGCACAGTTGCACATGCAAGCTGCAGATCCCACACCCTCCCCTCCTCGCCCCTTCCTCTTCCATAATCAAGACCTCGTGCACTTACTTCTTACAAACCAGTGCCCAGCAACCTTTAAAAAAAAAAAAAGTAAATAGGCTCATTTGTTAATAAAGTGACAGGATGTGAGCAATAGAACCAAGGTGCTGAGGTGATCAAGTCAACTGAACCTTTTACAGGGGGAAACCCCTCATCTAGCAAGCTGTATGACCCAGAAAGCCCCTGACATCCTGCTGCGATTCCTGTCCCCCCTGGCATGGCAGAGGGACGTTCTGAAGTGGCTTTGCACTCTGTGTAACACAGCCTGAAGACTGAACAGCACCTTGATGTGTTCATAAAGTGAGCAAGATTTTTTTTATTTTATCTAGTTTCAGCAACTAGTGCTACTTTATGGTGAAAGAAATGTATTTATTCTTCTGCAGGCTGATGAACACCTACAGTAAAGAAAGGCTTCTTTGGCTAATTTAAACCTTGCATGAATGGAAAATCATGTTATGATCATTATTACTATAACTGTGGTGTATCCAAACCAAACTGACATTATTTCATTCTGCACTGGTGTTCTGGGTTAAGCAGTAGCAGTCATTTTTCTCTTTCTTGGTAGCTGGTGCAGTGCTCTGTTTTGAATTTCAGGCTGGGAACAGAGCTGATAAAAATGATGTTTTGGTTTGGCCAAGGACTTTGTGAGCCTCATGCTCTGACAGGGATGGGGGGAAGCCAGGAGGAAGCAGAGACAGGACACCTGACCCAAACTGACCAAAGAAGTATTCCATACCACAGCATGTCATGTCCAGAAGGTAACTCGGAGTTACCCGGGGGGGGGGGGCTAAGCGGACTGCAGGGTTGGAGGAGGTATCGGTTGGTGCTTGGTCGAGCTGGGGGGGTGAGTTATCGGTCGGTTGGTGATGAGGTGTTGTATTCTCTCCCCTTGTTATTTCCTTTATCATTACTATTATTAGTGGGAGCAGTAGTGATTTGTGTTATACCTTAGTTACTAAACTGTTCTTATCTCAACCCGTGTACTGATTGGCACCTGTTAATTGGGTGTGGGCTAGTAAGTAACACCTGGCTGTGTATTTTCATCTCAATTTATCTGCTGTGTGGTTTGTCTCTCTAGGAAGATGAGAGGTATGGTGGAAGTAATACCAAAGGTACAAAGTAAGAGTTGTAGCTGTTCTCTTAACAGCAGAAATTAAAGTAAATTAAAAAAAAAATTATGAATCGGCTGGGGTTTGGTTGTTTGTTTTTTTTTTGTTTGTTTATTTTGATTTTTGTGGGTTTATTTTCCCAAATATTAAAAAAGCTAAACCCTGTCAGATTAGGGAGCATCCAGATCACAGAGCTAAAATGTCATAGGATGACTATGTACTGATTCACTGGTATACGTTTGTTGTCTGTAAAAAGTAAAATATTTTGTAATAAGAATTATGTATTTTTGGCCCTTAATGTTGTGAGGTATATAGGAATGATTCGTGTCAGAAACTTAGGAGTCCTTGTCATCATTGCACTTTGGGAGGAATCGAAAATCATGTGTAGAATGTATAATGACAGGAATGATCAGATTAAGATGGGAGTTCCTGTAAATACAATGATGAAAGAAAAGAAGGAACAAAGGAATAATCCTTCCTAATCAAAGTCTTTGTTACTTTAAGGGGTACTTTGTTTAACTACTTGAATGTCTCAGATGCTTTGCTAACTACAGAGGGTGTTTTGTTTAACTGCTTGAATACCTTAAGGGGGTTAAGTAATCAAGGGATACATTCTGTTAGGGGATGAGGTGAAACTTGTGTAACTATATAAGAAATGGAATTGAGGGGGCTAAGATAGTGGTTAAGCTTGTGACAGACATTCCCTGTTAATGTATTGCCAAGGAATTCAATGACTTTTTAAGAAGTTTCATCACCCAAAGATAAGATCCCAGCAACAGGAGGAGAACAATGAAAAAGAATCACGTCGGTATTTGGGTGAAGGAGACGACAGGATTGGCTGAAACCCAAGACCGAGGAGTATAAGACACTGTACCCCAGAACTCTCGACGTCCGTTGCTGGTGGAGTGAAGGCTCCCCTGCGCACCCAGCGCTGCTTGCTTATTGCTTCTCAATAAATTGTAAATAAATTAAATTTGGACCAAAACCCTGTCTATGCTAAATTTTTATAACAATGTT